TCGTTAATGAAACTTCAGGGTTTTAAGTACCATTTATCCTCAAGAAATGAGAAATTATGCATTGGATGATGGTACTTTCCAAAATATCCGATTATTAGATGATGCTTTTACCAAAATTTGTGATATGGTAAATGATAGATCTGTAAAGGTTCGAAGTAAGGTAATCTGATCTATAGAAGATTTCCAATGTAATTATTGGGAATTAACGTGATTAGCATTGTAAATGATGTTTCATTTTAGAATATGCTCAACAAGTTAGGCTCTTGTTTCCAAATAGGCGTGTACTATAATGGGAAGTTATCATCAAGTTGATGTATCAATTCTTCTTGAAACACTAAGTCAGGAGATTATTACTCATGGAAAATCTTGGAAGCCTACTACTAGCCATAGTAAAAAACAAAAAGTATTACAGTTTTTAATATTATTAGCTTAATCTTTGCTGAAATAAAATATAACATGTGTATAATGATAGTCTAGGTTTATTCCAACTCCTGAGGGTGATTTAGATGTAGAATCAGCTGAATTACGTATTTTGAAATCTAGTGCTTGTGGCGCATTTATTCATGGGTTAGAGGATGCATACCAGGATGTTCGTAATGCTGCGATTGGTAATATGGTTGTTCATTTCAACTTCACAAAAATTTAAATAGAACTTTCTAATTTATTTTTCAACACAGATTCGATATGTAAATTATGCATGCACAATGAAAAATTTTCAAAACGATCAGTTGAATTTCTTGTGGGTAACTATTTTTTGATACAATTTATACTTCATTTTCATCTTAAAATTGCTTATTAACATTGATATTGGTACTAGACATGTTTCAGGATGAGATTGATTTCGTGCGGTTGAATTCCATCAACAGTCTTTGCAAAATTGGTGCACAATATCCCATCGAATTGGATTCTGAATTATTGCAAATTACACTTAGTGTACTTAACGATGCTGATCCTAGGGTTCGAGAGTCGACACATGGAATGTTAGGGTGAATAGTATTCCTTCTAAATCAATTATGGATCAAAATTATCACATCATAATTAACGAATGATTTTTATTTTTCAGAGTTGCAAAGCTAAAGTCTCCTGATTTAATACCCATTTTTATTAAATCATTATTGGCCAGTATGACTAGATATCCGGAAGATCAATTATCAATTTATCAATGCTTTAGACGTGTCGGATCCACACATGGCGATTATATTGGTATATTATTGGCTTTGTGACTTTGGTTTTATTAATATGATGCTAAGAACTTATTT